GAACAAAGAGTAAATACAAAAAAAAAAGAAGAAACTGAGGTGTATGTACACCTCAACCCACCTATAAGCCGCAGCCCCTCACGCCGCCAGTAAGCCTTCAGTTGGGGGGGGGCCCCCATCGATGAGAGAACAGAACAAACCCCTGCTGTATGCAACAAACCCTTGTAAGCTGCTGCCAGCTCCTCTTCATCCTGCTGCTGCTGCTGCTGCTGCTGCTGCTGCTGCTGCTGCTGTTGCTGCTGCTGCTGGTGTTGCTGCGGGTGGTGGTGGCGCCGCTGTTGCTGCTGCTGCAGCAGAGAGTTGAGGGGAGAGAGATCTATGAATGTAGGGGGTTTGATGGTGGGTGCTGAGCTTGTTGTGTTGGTGTTTATATTTTCTTCTGTTTTTTTTTTTTTATCTGCTAGTGCAGCAGCAAGAGTTTTGTTTAAAGTATGGGGGTCGTGCTGCTGCAGCTGCTGCAGCAGCTGCTGCTGCTGCGCTGCTGAGAGAGTTTCATAGAAACGAAATATATGGCCCTGACCCGCTGAGGTGTATGCAGCGCGTACACCCGACATCACGCCAAACCCTAAACCCTAAACCCTAAACCCTAAACCCTAAACCCTAAACCCTAGATAATAGGGATAATATATATTTCATGAATTTGGGTTTAAAGAAATGTTATTTGAATTTATTTCAACAGAAGACAGAGAATACACAGAGACGTAAACATAAACCCTAAACCCTAAACCCTAAACCCTAAACCCTAAACCCTAAACCCTGAAACTCTAAACCCTCACTTTTTCACTCGGATGTGAAAATATTAAAACTTTTTAAGATAAATAAAATAGTTTATATTGCTCTGAAACAAATACACATAGTGAGACAGCCCCGGCGACCGCAGACCCAAACCCTAAACCCTAAACCCTAAACCCTAAACCCTAAACCCTAACACCCCCCATCGGCTGCTTTGCTGCATGTTGAGGGTTTTCGCTCTTTGTGGGGTCCTTCATCTCCTCTCCTCCTCAAATTTATAAAAATAAAACAAAAAATAATTTTATAAATAAAATTTAAATTTATTTGCACAAAAGAAGAGACAGAGAGAGAGGAAACAGAAGAGGCGAGACAACAACACCATAAACCAAACCAAGGGTTTAGGGTTTAGGGTTTAGGGGGTTTAGGGGGTTTAGGGTTTAGGGTTTAGGGTTTAAAAAGTGTATAAACCTGAATATATTAAACTTATATTACAACACTTCTGGGGTGTACATACACCTCAGCTCCCC